TCGTTATGGTCCCACCACAATGCAGGCACCAGTCTTGGCAAACTGGATTGGAACTGGATGGGAAGTTCTTGAGATGCAAGCTCCCATCTGCCTTTGCCCACCTACCCAAAAGTGACAGACAGTGGGAGCTGTGATCTGACCACAGTTGGGCCATCAGAAATGGTCCACCATTGGTAAGAAGACACAAAGTGGCCTCCATGGGTGGGAAGGACTACCCATGAAAGATTACTACAACAGCTCTAGATCAGTGGTTCTCAACCTTTCTAATGCCGTGACCCCTAAATAAAGTTCCTTATGTTGTGGGGACCCCAACCATATTTGCCCGCGCACTTGCCAATGCCAGAGAGCGTCCCTCTCCCGGAATTCACAAGTGCGCGGAGGAAGGGCTGGTGGAGGGAATGCGCACTGTGCACCAGCTCTCATCTACCACACTCTTGCCAACGCTGGGAGAAGATCTAGGCTTCTTGGGGCCTTTTGGGCACCCTTTGGATGGTGCATGGAGTGTGCAGGAGGGGGCGGGGCCTAATGAAGTCGCTCCACGACTCCTCTGAAATTGCCAAACGACCCCTCTGGTAGTCGCGACCCCCAGGTTGAGAACTGCTGCTCTAGATTATTAAATATGGTTTTCTATGGGCGAGCAGATGGCATCTACTGCAATTACTCATAGTTTCCTTTATAGGAAAGCGCAATTGACTATATGGCAATAACCATCACATGATTGAGAGATATCAACAGGTTTCCTATGGATGTGTCTCCTCCCCACATTTGCATTTTGTGTGTTGTATATTTTTATGTCACATTGATATATACCGATTTGAATGTGTTTTTAATGTGTGCACAAGCTGTATGTAAAATATTTGTAAATACTCATGAATAAAATGCAGAAACATATGCATTCATATGCATATGCATTCATATTCATACGCATATGCATATCCAAGATGGAGACATCAGTCCCACCCTCCTCCGAACTGATATTTAATTTATAGAGATCATAATCTTTCCACTGGACATAATGGGTTCTACTGGTGAATGGGAAATACACATGGAATGACCATATCTATTGCAGGACATCTGCAGTTGTGTCTATCCACAAGGAGGCACTTGGATAAGCCTTGCCTACACCAAATAGAAGACGAACTTCTAGCACAGTGGTTCTCAACCTGGGGTCCCCAGATGTTTTTGGCCTACAACTCTCAGAAATCCCAGCCAGTTTACCAGCTGTTAAGATTTCTGGGAGTTGAAGGCCAAAAACATCTGGGGACCCCAGGTTGAGAACCACTGTTCTAGCAGAAGTGCTGGAGGATCTCAAGAGGAAACATATTCCCCATGTGATCAAATCCAACTTGGATCCATTACTCTTGTCAGTGATGTGTGGTGATCACTAGTGGGATGATATGGAAACATCATTTTGCTAGTAGACACCTCCATCAAACGTCCCTCTGCTGGTTCTAGGTGTCACAACTACAAAAAGAATCCTTTGGGCCATATCATTGGGTAGACAAATGTGGGTATGTGTTCATAGAATCATAGAATCAAAGAGTTGGAAGAGACCTCATAGGCCATCCAGTCCAACCCCATTCTGCCAAGAAGCAGGAATATTCAAATCACCCCTGACAGATGGCCATCCAGCCTCTGTTTAAAAGCTTCCAAAGAAGGAGCCTCCACCACACTTCGGAGCAGAGTGTTCCACTGCTGAACGGCTCTCACAGACAGGAAGTTCTTCCTCATGTTCAGATGGGATCTCCTTTCTTGTAGTTTGAAGCCATTGTTCCTTGTCCTAATCTCCATGGAAGCAGTAAACAAGCTTGCTCCCTCCTCCTCCCTGTGGCTTCCTCTCACATATTTATACATGGCTATCATATCTCCTCTCAGCCTTCTCTTCTTCAGGCTAAACATGCCCAGCTCCTTAAGCCGCTCCTCATAGGGCTTGTTCTCCAGACCTTTTATCATTTTAGTCGCTCTCCTCTGGACACATTCCAGCTTGTCAATATCTCTCTTGAATTGTGGTGCCCAGAATTGGACACACTCTTCCAGGTGTGGTCTAACCAAAGCAGAATAGAGCATGGGGAGCATGACTTCCAGAGATCTAGACACTATAGTGGCCAAAATCCCATTGGCTTTTTTTGTCGCCACATCACATTGTTGGCTCATGTTTAACTTGTTGTCCACGAGGACTCCAAGATCTTTTTCACACGTCCTGTTCTCGAGCCAGGCATTGTCCCCCATTCTGTATCTTTGCATTTCGTTTTTTCTGCCTAAGTGGAGCATCTTGCATTTGTCCCCGTTGAACTTCATTTTGTTAGTTTTGGCCATTCATCTCTCTAATCTGTCAAGATCATTTTGAATCCTGCTCCTGTCCTCTGGAGTATTGGTTATTCCTCCCAATAATCTTTCCATTGAACATAATGGGTTCTACTGGTGAATGGGAAATAGACATGGAATGGCCATTTCAATTGCAGGACATCTGCAGTTGTGTCTATCCACAAGGAGGAACTCCACACAACCTTCACACAACTACACCAAATAGAAGACGAACTTCTAGCAGAAGTGCTGGAGGATCTCAAGAGGAAACATATTCCCCATGTAATCAAATCCAACTTGGATCCATTACTCTTGTCAGTGATGTGTGGTGATCACAGGTGGGATGATATGGAAACATCATCCAGCTAGTAGAAGACATCTCCATCAAGCGTCCCTCTGCTGGTTCTAGGTGTCACAACTACAAAAAGAATCCTTTGGGCCATATCATTGGGTAGACAAATGTGGGTATGGTTCTAGGTGTCACAACTACAAAAAGAATCCTTTGGGCCATATCATTGGGTAGACAAATGTGGGTATGTGTTGGTAGTGACTGTGAGGTGGTCATATGGCAGGAACACTAAAAGTAGCACCAGGAAACCATAAAATGGTGATGGTCCCAAGATCTTGGGAAGAGAAGAAAGCCCTTTCTCTCATTGAGTTGAGATGTGTGTGATTTATGATCCTGGGTTGAGTGGACCTGAAACATAAAATGTAATCATGGGGACACCTTGCACCACAATTGTAAACATGAATACCAAACAGTTTATGGATATGTCATTGCTCTATGGCAGTGGTTCTCAACCTTCCTAATGCCGCGACTCCTTAATACAGTTCCTCATGTTGTGGTGACCCCCAACCATAACATTATTTTCGTTGCTACTCCAGAACTGTCATTTTGTTACTGTTATGAATCGGAATGTAAATATGCAGGATGTATTTTCATTCACTGGACCAAATTTGGCACAAATACCCAATACATCCTAATTTGAATCCTGGTGGGGTTGGGGGGGGGGGTTGATTTTGTCATTTGGGAGTTGCAGTTTCTGGGATTTATAGTTCACCTACAATCAAAGAACATTCTGAACTCCACCAACGATGGAATTGAACCATCTTGACACACAGAACTCTCATGACCAACAGAAAATTTGGTAGGCATTGACCTTGAGTTCACTACCAACACATACCCACATTTGTCTACGCAATGATATGGCCCAAAGGATTCTTTTTGTAGTTGTGACACCTAGAACCAGAGTTTGGTGGGCATTGACTTTGAGTTTGGGAGTTTACCTACATCCAGAACACATTGTGGACTCAGACAATGATGAATATGGACCAAAGTTTGCCCAAATGTGAACACTGGTGGAGTTTGGGGAAACCAGACCTTGACATTTGAGAGTTGTAGTTGCTGGGATTTATAGTTCCCTACAATCAAAGAACATTCTGAACTCCACCAATGATGGAATTGAACCATCTTGGCACACGGAATTTCCATGACCAACAGAAAATACTGGAACGGTTTGGTGGGCATTGTCCTTGAGGTCTGGAGTTGTAGTTCACCTACATCCAGAGTGTACTGTAGACTCAGACAATGATGGATATGAACCAAAGTTTGCCCAAATGTGAACAATGGTGGAGTTTGGGGAAACCAGACCTTGACATTTGAGAGTGGTTGGGATTTATAGTTCACCTACAATCAAAGAGCATTGTAAACCCCACAAATGATAGAATTGGGTCAAACGTCCCACACAGAATTCCCATGACCAACGGAAAATACTGTGTTTTCTGATGGTCTTTGGTGACCACTCTGACACCCTGATGGAGTTTGGGGAAACTAGACCTTGACATTTGAGAGTTGTAGTTGCTGGGATTTATAGTTCACCTACAATCAAAGAGCATTCTGAACCCCACCAACGATAGAATTGGGCCAAACTTCCCACACAGAATCCCCATGACCAACAGGAAATATTGTGTTTTCTGATGGTCTTTGGTGACCCCTCTGACACTCTGATGGAGTTTGGGATAACTAGACCTTGACATTTGAGAGTTGTAGTTGCTGGGATTTATAGCTCGCCTACAATCAAAGAGCGTTCTGAACCCCACCAACGACAGAATTGGGCCAAACTTCCCACACAGAATCCCCATGACAAAGAAAATATTGTGTTTTCTGATGGTCTTTGGTGACCCTCTGAGACGCTGATGGAGTTTGGGGAAACTAGACCTTGACATTTGAGAGTTGTAGTTGCTGGGATTTATAGTTCGCCTACAATCAAAGAGCATTCTGAACCTCACCAATGGTAGAATTGGGCCAAAGTTCCCACACAGAATCCCAATGACAACAGAAAATACTGTGTTTTCTGATGGTCTTTGGTGACCCCTCTGACACCCTGATGGAGTGTGGGGAAACTAGACCTTGACATTTGAGAGCTGTAGTTGCTGGGATTTATAGTTCGCTTACAATCAAAGGGCTTTCTGAACCCCACCAAAGGTAGAATTGGACCAAACTTCCCACACAAAAACCAACAGAAAATACTGTGTTTTCTGATGGGCTTTGGCGACCCCCTTGATGCCCCCTCATGACCCCCTCAGGGGTCTCGACCCCCAAGTTGAGAACACTGCTCTATGGGATGCCAACCACAGTTGCTTTGGGTCCCAAATGTGAGAAAAGGGATAATACATCAATAAGATCAACACTTAGACAACCGAATGATAATCGAGCAGGTATTATTTTTATATTTTTGCACCATATACATATAGTTAGAACTTGAAGCATTACATCAGAAGAGGAAGTCCTTTTGATGGCATTTGCCGATCACAAAGGACAACCAAAGGTGAATGTTTACTCCAAGGTTGCAAAGCGAAAGCAGAGCATCTGTTGATGTCAACGGAACCAGACTTCCTGGAAGGAGATCCACCGTCCCTTCGATGCGTCAATTCCTGGATTCCATCTTCATTGTCGCAAGCATTAGAGAAGGTGGGAAGAAGAAGAGGTAGCAAGAAGCGGTTGAGATAATGCCCACATCAGCACGGATGTCCACCAAAGTGGGTCATCGAAGGTGCCTTTCAGAATCCGTTGTGTGTTCTTCTCCTTGTCGTAGGCCTTCGGGGAACTGGTTTCCAGTGGTCTCTCAGAAGCCTTTGGGATTCTGAGGTGGACAGCACTTTTGAGGAGGAGGGCATTGGGGTATACAGCATTGCTGAGGGGGTGGGCAGCATTTCTGAGGAGGTGGGCAACACTCCTGAGGAGGAGGAGGACAGCACTTCTGAGGAGGTGGACAACACTCCTGTGGAGGAGGACAGCACTTCTGAGGAGGTGGACAACACTCCTGTGGAGGTGGACAGCACTTCTGGGGAGGTGGACAACATTGCTGAGGAGGTGGGCAACATTGTTGAGGAGGAGGACAGCATTTCTGAGGAGGTGGGCAGCACTCCTGAGGAGGAGGAGGACAGCACTTCTGAGGAGAAGGAGGACAGCATTTCTGAGGTGGTGGACAGCACTCCTGTGGAGGTGGACAGCACTTCTGGGGAGGTGGACAGCACTCCTGAGGGGGAGCTTTCTTGCACTGGGGAGGTGCCTTGCAAGGTTGTACGCACTGGAAGCTTTCGGAAGACATCTTCTGAGGATTTAGAGGCACCTAGAAGACAAAGAAGAGAACACAATCAACTTTTCCATCTATTGATGGCAACGGTTCTCAAAGTGTGCTCCGTGGAGCCCTTGGAGCTCCATGAAGCATACTCTAGTTACTCGTCCCAGCCCCCAGGCCTTATCTAGGTCTCAACCTTGCTCTTCATTCTCTTTCCTGACCCCCTTCGAGTATTCGTTCTTCTCAGTCCCTTAATGGGTCCTGGAAATGTAGCCCCAGGTTCCTTAGTTACTTAGGCAATCCCTCGTTTTCCGAGGATGATTGTCTTCCAGTATTCTTGTGGGTCCGTATGTGGCTGTGGAGCCCTATTCTTGACCTGCATCTTCTTCCTCAGTGAGGGCATTGGTTGCCAGGTGGAAGGCGGTCTCGATCGGGGTTGGCTTGACGCGCCTTCCTCTTGGCACGCTTCTCCCTTTCGCCCTCCACTCGTGCCTCCTCGAATTCTGCAGCACTGCTGGTCACAGCTGACCTCCAGCTGGAGTGGTCAAGGGCCAGGGCTTCCCAGTTCTCAGTGTCTATGCCAGAGATTTTAAGGTTGGCTTTGAGCCCATCTTTCAATCTCTTTTCCTGTCCTCCAGCATTCCGTTTTCCGTTCTTGAGTTCGGAGTAGAGCAACTGCTTTGGGAGACGGTGGTCGGGCATCCGGACAACGTGGCCGGTCCAGCGGAGTTGGTGGCGGAGGACCACCGCTTCAATGCTGGTGGTCTTTGCTTCTTCCAGCACGCTGACATTTGTCCGCCTATCTTCCCAAGAGATTTGCAGGATTTTCCGGAGGCAGCGCTGATGGAATCGTTCCAGGAGTTGCATGTGACGTCTGTACACAGTCCACGTCTCACAGGCGTATAGCAGGGTTGGGAGGGGAATAGCTCTATAAACAATCACCTTGGTATCCCTATGGATGTCCTGGTCCTCAAGCACTCTCTGCTTCATTCAGAAAAATGCTGCGCTCGCAGAGCTCAGGCGGTGTTGTATTTCAACAATAACATTATTTTCGTTGCTATTTCATAACTGTAATTTTGCAACTGTTATAAATCATAATGGAAATATCTGATCTGCAGGATGTATTTTCATTCCTTGGACCAAATTTGGCTAAAGTTCCTCAAAAGTGCATCAATAATTGCTCTCCAAGAAACATGGGTCCTAAAGGATGTCGATATCTTAGGGTACCTTAGGGTACTTATTTTTTGCCAATAAATCAAATTTGGCAAAAATACCCTATATGCCCAAATTTGAATACTGGTGGGGTTGAGGGGGTATTGATTTTATCATTTGGGAGTTGCAGTTGCTGGAACTTATAATTAACCTACAATCAAAGAGCATTCTGAACTCCACCAATGATGGAATTGAACCAATCTTGGCACACTGATCTCCCATGACCAACAGAAAATACTGGAAGAGTTTGGTGGGCATTGACCTTGAGTTTTGGAGTAGTAGTTCACCTACATCCAAGTTTCAGCCCAATAGCTTTAAAAATGAGGGAGAAAGGAGCCCCTGAAATTTTCCCAAGTATAGCTTTTTTTGCGCAATTACTATAACGGAAATAGTAACGAAATTTCGTTACTCTCATTATAGTAACGAATTTTCACTAACTATACTTTAGAAACACTTTAGAAACAATTGGAACATCCATCTGTCTATCCATCTGTGTCTATATGTCACAGACATACAGATCTCTATCTATCTATCTATCTATCTATCTATCTATCTATCTATCTATCTATCTATCTATCTATCTATCTATCTATCCATCCACCTAGCTAGTACCTATCCTCTTCTTCTCTCTAGCTATCTCTTTATCTCAGTTCATCTTTCTGTAGCTATCTAGCCATCACATGTCTTCTTCTCTAGCTATCTCTATATCTCCATTTGTCTTCTGTAGCTATCTAGCCATCATATATGTTCTTCTCTCTAGCTATCTCTCCATCTCCATTTATCTTCTGTAGCTATCTAGCCTTCATCTATGTTCTTCTCTCTAGCTATCTCTCCATCTCCATTTATCTTTCTGTAGCTATCTAGCCATCATCTGTCTTCTTCTCTCTAGCTATCTCTCCATCTCCATTTATCTTTCTGTAGCTATCTAGCCATCATCTATGTTCTTCTCTCTACCTATCTCTCCATCTCCATTTATCTTTCTGTAGCTATCTAGCCATCATCTGTCTTCTTTTCTCTAGCTATCTCTCCATCTCCACTTATCTTCTGTAGCTTATCTAGCCATCATCTATGTTCTTCTCTCTAGCTATCTCTCCATCTCCATTTATCTTTCTGTAGCTATCTAGCCATCATCTATGTTCTCCTCTCTAGCTATCTCTCCATCTCCATTTATCTTCCTGTAGCTATCTAGCCATCATCTATGTTCTTCTCTCTAGGTATCGCTCAATCTCCATTTATCTTCTGTAGATATCTAGTCATCATCTATGGTCTTCTCTCTAGCTATCTATCTCCATTCATATTTCTGTAGCTATCTAGCCATCTTTTTCTTCTCTAGCTATCTCTCCATCTCCATTTATCGTTCTGTAGCTATCTAGCCATCATCGGTCTTCTACTCTAGCTATCCCTCTATCTCCATTTGTCTTCTGTAGCTATCTAGCCATCATCTATCTTCTTCTCCTTAGCTACCTTTCTAAGGAAGAGTGAGAATCCAGATCCTATTATTGCTCCCAACCAGAGTCAACTCATTGGATCAACTGAATGTTCCCATGTGTTGACCAACCATTCAACGATTGATCCAATGGGTTGAACTAGGATTCAGCAAAAGGATTCAGACTAAGTGTTTTCAAAAGAGTACTCCCAAAACAATAATGACGCCCTCCCTTCCCAAGTTTTCATTTCTGGAACCCATTCTAAAGCTTCTATCTAGTCATCATTCTATCTAGCCATCATCTATCCTCTTCTCTCTAGCTATCTCTCTATCGCCATTTATCTTCTGTAGCTATCTAGCCATCATCTATTTCCTTCTCTCTATATATCTCTCTAAGGAAGAGTGAGCATCTGGATCCTATTACTACTCCCAACCAGAGTCATCTCATTGGATTGACTGAATGTTTACTGTCAACCAGAGTCAACTCATTGGATCAATTGAACGTTCTCATGTGTTGACCAACTATTCAACGATTGATCCAATGGGTTGAACTAGGATTCAGCGAAAGGATTCAGACTGTTTTCAAAAGAGCACTCCCAAAACAATAATGACACCCTCCCTTCCCAAGATTTCATTTCTGGAACCCATTCTAAAGCTTCTATCTAGTCATCATTCTATCTAGTCATCATCTATCTTCTTCTCTCTAGTTATCTCTCTAAGGAAGAGTGAGAATTTGGATCGTATTATTACTCCCAACCAGAGTCATCTCATTGGATTGACTGAATGTTTACTGTCAACCAGAGTCAACTCATTGGATCAATTGAATGTTCTCATGTGTTGACCAACCATTCAACGATTGATCCAATGGGTTGAACTAGGATTCAGCAAAAGGATTCAGACCAGGTGGTTTCAAAAGAGCACTCCCAAAACAATAATGACGCCCTCCCTTCCCAAGATTTCATTTCTGGAACCCATTCTAAAGCTTCACAAAATATTAAACTCTGTCTTGAGCATCCAAACACGATATATTTTGGATAACCTGATCCTCAGGGATCTCTCCAAGACCGCAGTCTTAAAACAAGGGTCTTGATCATAGAATCATAGAGTTGGAAGAGACCTCATGGGCCATCCAGTCCAACTCCATTCTTCCAAGAAGCAGGACAATCACATTCAAAGCACCCCCAACAGATGGCCATTCAGCCTTTGTTTAAAAGCCTCCATAGAAGGAGCCTCCACCACACTTCGGGGCAGAGAGTTCCACTGCTGAACTGCTGTCACAGTTAGGAAGTTCTTCCTAATGTTCAGGTAGAATCTCCTTTCGTGTAGGTTGAAGCCATTGCTCCATTGATGGAGAGGAAAAAATGAAAAAAAGTGACAAATTTAGCCATTGGTAAGGAAAATACCAGAGTCTACTTACCGAAAGGAAGGCAGGCTCAAGACTGAACACGGTGTGTTGCAGCAAAGCGGAGTGAGGAGCCTGGGGAGATGAGGAGCAATTTATATGCCACCCGAAAGTAGATGTTTGCATAGAAAAAAGCCTATGATGCACATGCCTCAAAAATATTTCGGGAACACCCTCCCTGGTCCTTGTGCAATCTGAGCCTATTCATGTGGCATCTGTCATAGGGCAAAGCCTTATTACCATTTGGCTCGTAAGGTTTGCTTTGAGGCTAGAACATTAACATACTCAACAACAACTCCACCTACAGATTCAACAAAAGAGTAATAGTGTTGACATTATCTGTCTGATCTCCCCCCTTGTTTCTCTAACTGAAGACACAGAATGTACTGACTCGACATATTCCTGAGAGGAAAAACCCACAAGATAACGGGAGACTCCCAGGAAAAATATAGCAGTGGTTCAGAGGGAACTGAGATGGCTTCTAGTTATTCCAGTGAGGAAAGGCAACAGGAGCTCAAATCAAGTAGCAATGGTGAAGAATAAGTTATCATCCAAGTAGTGATGTATTAATTACTCATAGGTCTCTATGATGATACAGTAAGACCCTTGTAACTGCAGAATCCATATCTGCGGGTTCGTTTATCCATGATTCTATGGTATACTTCCATATTCAAAGGAAGATGGCAAAAAGGGGACCATACTGAGGAAGGCTAATCTGGGAGAGTTACACTCTTAAAAAAGGAAATATATGTTTCATTCAGTTAGATCAGTGGTTCCCAACCTTTTTCTGACCAGGTACCACTTTGACCAGGGACTACTTGACCAGGGACCACTTTATCAGGGACTACTTGAACAGGGACCGGTTTGACCAGGGACCACTTGAAAAGGGACCACTTTGACCAGGAACCACCTGAATAGAGACCACTTGACCAGTGACCACTTGAACAAGGACCACTTTGACCAAGGATCACTTAAACAGGGGCCACTTTGACCAGGGACCACTTGACCAGGAACCACTTGAACAGGGACCGCTTTGACCAGGAACCACTTGTCCAGGGACCAGTTTGACCAGGGACCACTTTATCAGGGACCACTTCAAAAGGGACCACTTTGACCAGGAACCACCTGAACAGAGACCACTTGACCAGTGACCACTTGAACAAGGACCACTTTGACCAAGGATTACTTGAACAGGGGCCACTTTGACCAGGGATCACTTGACCAGGAACCACTTGAACAGGGACCACTTGAACAGGGACCACTTTGACCAGGAACTACCTGAACAGGGACCACTTGACCAGGGACTACTTTGACCAGGGACCACTTGAACAGGGATGACTTGATCAGGGACCACTTGAACAGGGACCACTTGACCAGGGACTATTTTGACCAGGGACCACTTGAACAGAGACCACTTTGACCAAGGATTACTTGAACAGGGGCCACTCTGACCAAGGACCACTTGACCAGGCACCACTTTGACCAGGAACCACTTTGACCAGGAACCACTTGAACAAGGACCACTTTGACCAAGGTCCACTTTGACCAGGAACCACTTTGACCAGGAACCACTTTGACTAGGAACTACTTGACCAGGGACCACTTTGACCAGGGACCACTCTCCAACATTAGTACCAAAAGGTTAATGAAATGGTTTTTGGGCAACTTTAGATTCAGTTTGGTTATTTGGGATGCTGATTCAGAAAACTACACTGGATAGACCACATCAGCTCTAGTTTCTGATGCTGAGCATATGCAATCTCCTTCAAGCTACAAGGAAAAAGATTCCTTCAGGAACAACCTTATGTTCAACCATGGACTGCCTTGGAGGGTGGTGGGCTCCCCTTCTTTAGAGACCTTTAAACAGTGATTCGTGGCCATTTTTGGAAGTGATTAGTTGTCTAGTCCTTGAATTGAAGGATGTTGGACTAGCTGACTCTTCCTTCCAACTTGATGATTCTCAGAGGGGGTTAAACATCTCTGTTGGCTCCTTCACAGCTTGGAGAAAATCCAGGCAGATCCAGCACTACATGGAAGCAACCAATTGACTCTACTTCCAGAATTGGAGAACCACTTCCATCTGCGGTTCCACTACCATCTACAAAGCTTCTTTGGACAGCTGAGGACCCTCTTGTAGAAGGTTTGGAGACCATGGATGATTGTGGTGAGAGAGGTGGAAAAAGCAACCCTAATGCCACCAAAGTTGGAGACCAACATACACATTTAGTGGAATCCTATCTCGGTTGTGTCAGTTTTGAATCTATCCAATCCTTATTTCGTTTTCATGCACAAGAAGGACAATTTTCAGAGGATCAAATCTTACTGTTAGGCCTCAATCCAATAAGTCGAATGGCTCTACTTTAGTTGGGACTATTGTTAGTCTCAATTGAAATAGAGCCACTGGACCTACGAACTGACTCATCTTAAAACATGATTCAATGGGTCTACTCAAGCTGGGAGTCTCCACAGAAGATTCCAGTCTTCAGGATAGGAGACAAGTTCAAACACTGTATGACGATGGCTACAATTATGGCTACAATTATGTACTAATTCATTTATTTCTTAAGTACATAAAGACTCAGCCAATTCGTAATTAGAGGAAATGGAAGCACATGCATCATCTTTGGGAATATCGTCCTTCAGACTGTATCTTCCACTCCTGTCCACACCTCTGTTTTTCAACACTTCCTGGTCAAACACTTGGAATATTGGACTTGCTGACATAGCGCCCAAAATATCATGGCTCAATATTCGGGCTGGGCCGGTTGTGGAACAAAATATGGCGCCATGATCTAATCCTGCTTTACTAAAACTACCAAAAAGTGCATAATTGGGTGAAGATGTCAGCACCAAACCAGACCTAAAGATAGACATTCCTCAAGCCAGTAGGACCAATGGTAAAGGATTCTGAGAAGCCAAGTCTAAAACATCTAGGTGGTCAAAGATGAGGAGTCACCAATTAGGTTCTCTTGGTCTGTACACTTTTCTTGGAAAGTCTTCACTGACATTGGCATTAACTCTCCCACTTCTTGTTCAGGGACCACTTTGACCAGGAACCACTTGGTTCAGTGGTCAAGGTCTTCTACATGGGGTTCAGTGGTCAAGGTCTTCTACATGGGGTTCAGTGGTCAAGGTCTTCTACATGGGGTTCAGTGGTCAAGGTCTTCTACATGGGGTTCAGTGGTCAAGGTCTTCTACTGGAGCTCTCAATACAATGATAGAACCTTAGAGTAGAAAAAGGTCAAAGAGGACATTTGGTCCAATCACAAGGGCCACCCAGTCTTAGTGAACTGCATGTTCATAGCATGGTGGTGGCCTCCAAGCGTCAAAGTTTTTTGGATGAAACTGGTTATCTGGATCCATTTCAATCTGGTTTCAGGTCTGGCGATGAAACTGAGATAGCACTGGTCATCTTGGTGGATGATCTATGAAGAGAGCTAGACAGGGGGGAGTGTGTTCCTGCTGGTTCTCCTGGACCTCTCAGCAGTGTTTGATACAATTGACCATGGTATCCTTCTGGACTGGCTCTCTAGGTTGGGGCTATTGTTTTACAGTAGCTCCAGTGCTTTCTGGAGGGCAGCTCTCAGGTGGTGGCACTTAGGGGACACCTGTTTGACCCCCTGGCTGGAAACCTGTGGGGTCCCTCAGGGTTCAATTCTGTCCTCCATGCTGTTTAATATCTGGGAGAGATCATCTGGAGTTTTGGAGTTTGGTGTCAAATCTATACAGATGGCATCCAACTCTATCACTCCTTTCCACCTAAAGCCAAGGATGTCGCCAAGGTCCTGAACCAGTACCTGTCACCAGTAATGGATTGGGTGAGGGCTAACCAGTTGAAATTAAATCCAGAGAAGACAGAGGTGCTCCTGGTCAGTTGGAAGGTGGATCTGATGAAGGCTTGATTAAAATACATAATTCACATATTGGAAAATATATATTTGATGTAACCATATTAGAAATAGGAGTTAGAAAATATATAAGAGAAATGTATGTATGTATGTATGCATGGCCTTCACTTCACTTGACTTCTTAAAAGCTGCAAAATTAGAGAGGCCAGCATCTAGGAAAAGGAATGTCTAGAGGCCTGGCATATTTCAAGAGGCCCCATGTCGGTACCAGGCACCTTATCGTAAGACTAATGAGGTGGCCATTAAGAGGTTTCAGGAAGACCTTATCTTAGGATGGATGGAGACTCTTGCTATCAGGTCCAGTAGACATTCTGGCGATGGTCCTCATTAATAGCAACTCTTCAGATAGGGATGCTAATGAAGATTGATAAGGTGTTGAGTTTGAAAATATGCTATTGAAGTCAATGTAAAAGTAGAATTTTGTGACGCACATTGTGATGTCTGTATGATGCATGCATAATTATTTTAAAAGGTATATAAACCAAGGATTTCCTTTGTTCTAAACCCTTCTTTCCTGGCTTACCAGGAGGGTCCATATCCGGTTGGCTCCAACCGAGAATAAAGCCGTGCTTTTCAGTTCTCAGGATCTCTCTTTGTCTCTTTTCCTCAAACCTTCTCCATGCAATTTCAGATCAGGGTGTGGGATTACGGCCTGTATTGTGGCGAGGGGGCGGGGGGAGGTCACACAGGTCCACAGCCTGGGGATGATCTTGGAATCATCATGACCCAGGAACCTCAGGTGTTGGTGGTGGACAGGACTGCCTTTGCACAGTTAAAACTTGTGCACCAACTGTGCCCATACCGTGAGATGCCAGATCTGGCCATGGTTGTCCATGCTTTAGTTACATCCTGCTTGGAATATTGCTTCACTCTCTGTGTGGGGTTGCGGTCAATGGAGTGGGATCTGCTCTTGGTCCCACCTTCTTCTCAAGCACGGTTGGTGGGAACGAGAGAGGGGACCTTCTCTGTGGTTGCCCCATCCCTCTGGAACTCACTCCCTAAAGAAACTAGAACGGTCCCATCACTCCTCTTTTTCAAATAACTTCTGAAAACACACTTGTGTGAATTAGCTTACAGAGAGGGAGGGAAGTAGACTACTATCAATTCTACTTTGTGGCGATGCTGACAACAAATAATTCTAAATTATGGAGACCTATATTTT